ATATGAAAACTACAAAATACAAAAAAAAAACGGGAAAAAACAAACCCTTTGCTTTCCCACAACGTCATGTGCCGCTATAAGCAAATAACTGCGTACCCAGCACTCGCTGTCCCCCTCTCTTTCTCTCTCTATGTCTTTCTCTCACTCTGTCTCTCTTTCTTATTGTTTGTTGTGGGTGTACAACCAAGTTTTCACCCAGAGCTGATGCCAACAACCAGCATGGGAAACATCAGCAATAGCAACAAACACAACAACATCAGCAGCAACAGCAACAACAACTACAACAACAACAACAAGTCGCAATCGTCGCACATATCAGCGCCGTCATCTTTTAACGCTACGCCCTCGCCCAAAGAAGAGACCCCATCCACGATGTCGAAGAGACCAATCTCTGGCTGGGACTCGGCTCGTCTACAGAGACCGTGTCTTCAATTCAATTCATTTTTATTATGATGAGCAGCCGCTATTCGCCATCACCAGTTGCCAGTTGCCAGTTCCAAGTTGAACTCCGGTCTCGGTCTCGAAAGCGCGAAGCTGGTTTTTTTTTATATTATATTGCTGCTGCTGCTTCTTCTTTTACTGCTTCATCTTCTTCTTCTTGATCATCATCATCATCATCTTCCTCTTGTGTTCATCATCTTTCAGTGCGTTCGTTTTTATGTTTATAAAGTTTCTTCTTCCTCTTTCTGCCTTGTGTATTTAAATTGCTTGTGAGATCGGCGGCTTATTGCCAGACTCGAGACTCGAGACGCGAGACGCGAGACTCTAAGCCAAAGTTAAAGCCAGCGACCGAGCCGAAGTCGCTTAAGAGCTGGCCCGTAGTTTGGCTTTGTCGAAAGCTGAAACTTGGGTTTTTTTATTCAGCCGTTGCCGTTGCCGTTGCTGTTGCTGTATTTATTGTTGTTGTTGCGTTTCGTTTCGATTCGTATTCGCTGCTATCGCACGTTGTTTCAACTGAAGAATTCAAAGTGGCCACAAAAAACACAAAAACACAGCGCGTCGGGCCAGCGCCAGAGACAGAGTTTGAGCCAGGCCCAGACCCCTGAACAGGCAGTCGAGGCGGGCAGTCGAGCCAGCCAGCGACCGACTTTATTGCTGAAGTCGACTTTTGAGCAGCGCCAAGCGAGGCCGACACAGTGGAGCCAAACTAACGTTGGTTGGTTGTAGTTAAAAGTCGTCTTGTAACTGACAATACTTTACGCAGTTAGTCTTAAAATACATTTTTTTAGGAAACGTGGGATAATAAAAAAGTAGTCATTGTCTTAATACAAATTATTAGCTGTTATATATTTTATTCTTCACAACACCAAATACTTTTTGGTATATTGCTAATATAAATAAGTGTAAATAAATATATAATAATATCTTTGGACTTTATCTACAATTTTTACATTGACAAGAAGTCTCTAAATATACTTCAAGCTAGACTTTTTCAATATAACTTTAAATAAAAGAAAACATTATAAATTGACGGCTTTTGTACCACTGTGCATAAGAGCGGACGTTGCGACGTTTCAACTGTGTTGGCCTGGCTCTGAGACTGTGGGGCTCTCGGCTTGGCTTTGGCTTTCGGGCAAACATTTCGTGTTGTTGCTGTCGCTGCTGTTGTTGTTGTTGTGGTTATTGTTGACGATGACTGGCTCTCAGGTTGGTTGGCTGGTTGGCTGGTTGGACGGTCGTTCGTTCGGTCTGTCGGTCGTTCATTTCGTTCGCTTGTACGGTCGTCGCTTGGTTGGCTCATAACCTGAAACTTGAATATTGTGGAATTTGAAGGTAGCGACGGACAACACAGCGACAGCGACAACGACGACGACGACGATGTTGTTATTGCTGCAGCAGCAGTAACAACTGCAGCGCTGCGTGCGAGCTTTCGAGTCTCAGCCTCAGCCGTCAATTTGGAGCCAGTTGCCGTCGCCAACGTCGCCAGAGCCAGAGCTGAAACGAGTTGCTGGCGAAGCGTAAAGTAAAAAAGTAAAAAAAAAAATAAAAAAAAAAGCAGCGAACGCTTGCCGAGGCTGCCTGACTGCCTGACTGCCGGACTGGCTTTTGTGTGTGCTCCGTGGTTGTTGTTGTTGTTGCTTTAGCGCTGGCTTGAAACTGGCTGACGGGCCGACTGAGTGACTAGGTGACTGATGCTGGTGTGGCAATAAAATTCAACTGCCAACAGTCGCAGTTGCAATATCAGTGAACGCAGCTCAAATCATGTTGCTGCTCTCCTAGCAGCTCTAAAGATGACTTTCGGCCGTGTTTGATTGTTGGCCAGCTTTGTTATTGTTGTTGCCTATAATGATAGCAACACTCTTTTATTTTTTTTACAACTCACACCAAAGCAAAACGCAACAGCAGCAACAGCAGCAACAACAATTTCTCCGCCTGTTGTTGTAACAATTTTTTAACGCAAATTAGTGTAGAAAGTTATTTTGTGTGTTTTGTTTTCTGGGGTTTTTGATTTCCGTTTGCAAGCTTTGCAGTTGTGGAGCTTTTAATGTGGGAGCAGGCAGCTTTTGTAAATTCCCCTTGAGCACAGCACAGCACGGCGTATGCGCAATGCGCTTTTTAAAAGCATTCCACATACGCCGTGTGCGCCAGCGCCAGTCGCAAACAATAAGCAATGTGCAATGAGCAATAAGCGATGAGCGATGAATTCAAACGATGCCGATAAGCAACTGCAATGTGACACACACACACAGACAACAGCTCACAAGAGACGAGGAACGAACAGCGATCACGAACGATGACAAATATTATGAGGAAATTTGTGTGCGATCAGCTCAAAACATTTGGGTTTACTTCAAGATGAGCGAGCCAGTTTGACGCAAGATGTTCGACACTGTTAGTCATGAGCGTCGAGTCTAGAGTCTAGACTGCCAGCCAGCCCCTATGCCATAAAGTGACCGAAATACAGCTGCAGACAACGAGGGATGAAATGCGACGACGACGACGATGCGATGCGATGACGCTGAGAAGCAGCTAAACAGCAAAAGACCGAAGACCGAACCGAACGAACAACGAAACCGGGGCGGGTAGACAAACGTGGCAGGCAAACAAGCAAGCAGGGGCTGGAAAAAAGGGCAAGGAAAATGTGAAACACATGCGACTGCGACTGCGACTGGGACGATGTCGACCTCGATGACGATAACAAAAAAAAAAAAACAACAAAAAAAGAGCTGCAAACGAAAATGAAACGAAACAAAACTCACCCCGATGCGCTTCGTTGTTGCTGCTGCTGCTGCTGCTGCGACTCATGGCTCATGGCTCACGACTGTGGCTCGTATTCCCCCTCTGAATGCAGAAATATGCGAGCATATGGCAACCCTTATAAGTCTGACAAAGGCACGGAGCACACAGTACGCACATCTGTGATGTTCAGAAACTTCATGTTTAGCGGGGCTGGGACAGAGTTGTTGAGTTCTCTGTGTTAATATAATAGAGGGTGGCAACACTGCTCAGCAGTTGCCACAGATATTTCACTTAAAACGAACAGAGCCTCAATTTATGATCAGCATTGCAATGCGGCAGTTTTGATATATTTGAGTGTGAATTGATAAGAAAGAAAGAAATCGATTGTTTTCTATAAAATATGCAAGATTAATGGGGAAATGCTAAGTTATCAATTGCCAATAAATATGAGTATTATATTATTATATTTTTGAGAACTCATTTACTTATAGAAATATTTCCTTAGAGCTACTCAAAACTTGAATAAAATTACCAGATCTTTTTTATGTGCCTCAATCTCTGTTCATATAAAGCTGACTGCAGATCACTATGAGTATTCAAATAAACTTTGATTTGAGATTACACTAAATTTGAAATGAAACGAAATGGAACGCTCTGGCAGTCAGTGTGGCATTGTTCAATGTTGTTTCCATGCCATATATTCCAAAATCATGAAAACGCGTCCCCCAAAAATAGTTTCGAGAATCTCACACAAATGTGCGGAAGTGATGAACGCAATGATGCTAAGACGTTGAAGGCAGCCCGCCCCAGTGCGGCGAGTCCCACGCTCATGCTGAACACTTCTATTACTGCGTCTGTCGTTGCCGCTGCTGCTGCTGCTGCTGCTGCTGCCTCTGACCGTGCACCACCGCTTGCCCCTTGTGTGCCCGCCTGTGTCTGTTTGCGGCTGCTGGCTGCTTTTGGCTCTTGTCCCTGCCTCTGCTTCTGCTTCTGCCTCTGCCTCTGTTTCTGTGTTTTATTTTAAGAAGATTTCGAGCAAGCAACGCTGATGAGCAATGCCAGCCAGTTGGTTGGCGAGGGTGGCTGCCCGACTGACTGCCTGACTGGGCTGCTCTTCGTCGTTGTGTCTCTCCATTTTCATTATGATGCAGCAATGGTGCTGGCGGCGGTGGTGGTGGTGGTGCTGTTGCTGCTGCTGCTGGCTGGGTTTGCTTGTTGGGTGTGGGTTGTTCTTGTTGTTGTCATTCGGCTGCCGCCTGACTTCCATTTTCTTGATAAGTTTTTTTTGTGCCCTTTGTCGTTGTCCTGGCCCCGGCACGTAGACAGGCGCCTGACATTGGCTGGCGATGGCTGGAGGGGGCAACTGGGTGGCTTTGATGGTTTGGGTTTTGGGTGGTTTACTCATTGGCTGCTGCTCCTTTGTGCAGTGCTTCACAATTTATGAGACAAGATTCAAATGCTTGTTATACGCTATGATAAAGCAGCAACGGGGTATGTTGAACTAATAGACTGATAATGTGGTCAGAGTAAGGATTTTGAAATTTATTAGATACTTATAAATATTAATATGAAAATAATTCTAATTAATAACAGTTCAGTTCACTTTTTCTTAACAAAAGTATGAATATGCAAAAATTGATTGTAATTAGAGACACAATATGAAATAGTAGATGTATCTGTAGTTGGAAGAGATGATTGAACTGGAGTAAAATAAGCAGGATGTGACTTAGTCGTTATTCAGCTTAACTCAAAATTTAACTTAACTTTTGCCGCCAATTGCTAATATGAATTTCACTTTTCGTTTTGTGTGCGTTTTGCAGGTAAATTCAGCAATGGGTCTTCAAGCAACAGCCGCTACAAAGCGGAAGCATGAGCTGACCTTCGACAGCAAGGATGCCAACACCACCTACACGGGCAACTGTGCACCGCCGCCGGTTAAGGCCAACAAATGGGCCGTCAACAACAACAACTACCTGGAATCGCTCGAGGAGCAAAAGACGACAATGGAACACCAAACCGAATCCAACAACAACAATGTGGAGATTGTGAAACCAGCGCATAGTATTATTAGCAACGGTGATAAAGTTACTAACAGCAACAGCAACAGCAATAGCAACACTAGCACCACTAGTACCACCACCACTACCAGCAGCAACAACAAGTGCGCCGCTGAGGTGCCACTGCTGCCAACAGCGAGCGCTGCGATACCCGAGGACAGCATTGCCAAGCTAGAGGTGGTTGCGGCAGTGCCATGCGAACCCTGGTCAACGGCTGCAACGCCCGTGGCGCCGGTCAGCAACAGCAGCGAACCGGTGGATTGCATCTCCAAGCTGCAGGCGGTCGCTGTGCCGAGTGATCCCTGGGGCAGCATTGCCACACGCTCCACGCTCGCAACGACGCTGCTCAGTGCGGACGAGCTGGACGACGATGATGATGACTTCGAGGATGATTACGAGGAGGAGGAGAGTATTATACCCACTTACTGTCCCATCCGATATCATCCGTTTGCACAGCAACAGCAGCAACAACAGCAGCAGCAGCAGCAACAGCAGCAGCAGCAGCAGCAGCAGCAGCAGCAGCAGCAACAACAGCAGCAACAACAGCAGCAGCAACATCAGCAACAAGCGGCGGCAGCAGCGGCAGCCGCAGCCGCGCAACAGCAGCGCAGCTATGCGCCCGGCTATGGCAGCCGACCCGCGTACTACTCGGAGCCGTTTCCCCAACAGAATTGCTCCCGCACCGGAAGCCCCCAGCACATGACGCCGCGTGGTTTTGCACCCCCGCAGTGGACAACAAATCCGGGTGCAGCTGCAGGCGCCGTCGTTGCGAGCGCTGCAGGTGGAGCGGCAGCAGCGCCCAGTGCCACACAGCAGCAACAACAGTTCTATGATAATGGTGTTGGCGTTGTCTACGCTCAGCCAGCACCGCAGCAGACCATACGCTGTGCGGAGAATGGCAAATCCTATCTGGATCTCGGCTGTAGCAGTGCCGCCGCCAGCAATGCGGCAACGTCAACGACGGCGCTGCCCGCAGGTAGCAGTGGCAGCGCGGCACCAGCGCCACCGCCATTTGTAGCGATGCCCCTCCACGGTATGCCCCTGAAGCGCTGCTGTGACGGACGCGGCGGCTGGTGCAGCGCCAACAGGAATTGCTACAAGGACACGCGGCTGAAGATACGCAATATGTCCATGTTCAAGCTGTCGCGCTTTCGCCAGGTGTCGGAGCAGTCGCTCTATCGCTCGGTGCTCATCTGCAATACGCTCAAGCGCATCGATCGCGAGATCGAAACGGAGGCCAAGGAGTTGCATCAGGCGGCGCAGCAGCATCATCAACAGGCTGCTGCCGCAGCAGCTGCTGCCGCTGCCCAGGCAGCGCAATATCATCCAGCCTATCAGCAGCAACAGCAACAACAGCAGCAGCAGCAACAGCAGCAGCAGCAGCAATCTCCGCCAGCGCCGATGCATCATTCGCAGCAGCAACAGCAGGATTATGCGCCCGTGTTGAACTGCGCACGTTTGGCCAACATGGAACACTATCAGCAACTGGCGCAAGCACCCAGCTTTCAGCCCCAAGCGCCGCTCGGCTATCATGAGCGTCTCGATGCCCCGCCGCCGCCCTACAGAACGGCAGTTGCGGCTCAAGCGGCAGCCTCTGCTCCCGGTGTCTTTCAGACACAGCCCGCGGCGGCGGCGAGTAGCAATTGTGAGACGGCGGTTGGCACCACTCTGCATCCGTACGATCACTATCCGTTCCGGGATTCGCAGTCCGGCCGTGCAACGCCCTTCCCCGCCACCTGTCAGCCGACAACTGCGGCAACAGCAACAGCAGCAGCGGCTCCAGCGGCAGCAGCAGTTGTAGCTGTTGCATTGCCAACGCCATCCAGCATTGCACCCGTTAGCAACAGCAGTAGCAACAGTAGCAACGTTGCTGTGCCCGCAGCAACAGTTGCTCAGGTGCACAGCAGCAACACCAGCAGCAATACATCCAATGCCAGTTCCACTTCTAGCGTGGTCAGTGCCTGTGAATCGAGTGACTCTGGCTATGCGGATGATGATTCAACGAGGTCCATCAACTGGAGTTCGGTGCTCAGCCTCAGCTCACAGTCGGCGCTGGATCCACTTAACAACAACGATCTGTTCAATATACTTCCCGCAGCTGCCACGCCCACAGCGGTGCCCGTGTGCATAGCGAGCAGCAGCAGCAACAGCGGCGGCGGCGGCAACGGCTCCACGCTGGCCTTTAGCGGTAGCTTTACCACCGTGCAAGCGAGCGCCAGTCAGAGCAACAGCAGCAGCAGCTCCTTCGCCTCGTCGCCATCGTCGACAACCGCAACCTTCACCACGTTGTCCACCATTTCATCGGCGACACATTCGCTGACGTCATCCTATGTGAGCAGCATCAGCTCGAATGTATCTGCTGGAGCGAATACGTGGGAGTATGGTTTCCTGGACATGGAGTTCGGGTTGGGCTCCGAGTTTACCGAACTTGTGCCCAGCTGCAAGCTCAGCACCGATGAACTCTTCAAGAGCGGCCTCAGCGGGCCAGTGGCCAGTGCCAATGAGCTGGAACAGCCCGCCCACATCATGGTCGGCAGTTAGTATCAGTTGTAAGCATTCGATTGCCACGGAGACGGTGGCTGCCGTCGGGATTGAGCATGCGGGTCACGCTCGTCTAGGTGGCGCCTCAACCGGAATCCAAGCAGTATTCAATATGTAAGGAATTATGTGCATACAGAAGTGAAACGATATGAGATATATGAGACAAAAAAAAAAACGCTGTAAACATAATTTCCAATTATGCTCAGGTTGTGAACGTGTATGTTGCCCCCCTCCCATCCCTCCTTGCGATCTTAATGTTCCCAATCCCATACCACAAGCAATCGCCGCCAGGGGCCGCCACACATTAATTGCAATTGTATTGAAAAAATATTGATAAATCTATGAGAAATAATAATATGACAAATTGAAAGAAAAAACTATTAGCAAATTTTTTAAGTGTATATAATGTAAAATGAAAAATCTTAAATCTAATGCAGAACAACTTCTAGCACCTAAGTTTGAAAGTAAAAATAAAATATATATATGATAATTGTATCTATATTAGCGCGTATGACATGTAACTTTAGCTTTGTTAGTTGCAATTGTTGCAGTTTTTCGATTACAACAACACGTTTCAAAACCAACACAAACATACAAAAACAATAACAGCCAACAGAAAGATCAATAATGCAGAAAGAATCCTTAAGAAAAATTTGTATTTGGCTAACAACAACAGCGAAAAGAAAGAAAAAAAACATGTAAAATCGAGAAACGTTTACTATATTATAGCCATAAGTATTATTATTTATATACAACAAAACAAATGGATAAATGAGAGAACAACTTAAAACAAAGTTTTACAAAAAAAATTTTAAAAATTAAAAAAAAAAATTTGAAAAAAAATACAAAACTACAAGCAAATATAAAGAATTTGTTTAAAAAAATTACATGTTTATTTAATGGGTCGTTCTGTGGGCTTTTAGTACTTAAATTACTTACGAACTTTAAACTTTTCAGCAAAAGCTTCTTACAAAGCTTTAACTTCGGTTGTTGTCTCAATAAGTAGGTTGGTTTACATCTCTGCTTATAGCAAAGCTTTAAGTTTGGCTGTTGTCTTAATAAGTTGGTTGGTTGGCAAGTCTGCTACTGATAAAGCTTTGGCTGTTGTCTAAATAAGTTTGTTGGTTTCAATCTGTGCTTACTGCTTAGGCTGTTGTCTTAATAAGTTGGTTGGTTTGAATCCTTGCTGCTAACAAAGCTTTAGCTTTGGCTGTTGTCTTAATAAGTTGGTTGGTTGGAATCTTTGCTGCTAACAAAGTCTTAGTTTTGGATGTTGTCTTAATAAATTGGTTGGTCAGAATCTCTGCTAGTTAGGTTTGAGAGCAATGGGATATTTGTTAGCTATTTTACCGCCATCTATGTTAGAAGTATTCCGAAGAAAGTGCTAAGTTTCACTATTAACAACTGGTTAGGAGTCTGGCTAAGCGAATGATTCGTTAAGATTGCTCAATGGGTTGAATAATTTGGTTTCAATCGAATTAGCATAGAGTTGAACCAAAAACCGATTATTCGCTATAAACATTTCTAGCTGTTATCCGTTTGAGAACAAATCAATGTTTTTAATTGATATGAAACAGAAACAGAAATTATGTTAAGTGTCTTGGTTCTCATTAGATATCAAGAGACTTCCCATTTAACTACTTTAAATCTATTTCTAAAAGTATTTCAGCACCATATTATTAATTTTTAAATTTTAATAACAGAGCGCGTAAATGTTAATTAATATATCTTAAACAGCTGTTTTATATTCTGCTAAACTCAAAACGCACTGTTAAGAAAATGAGTTGGCATTACTAAAAAGCATTTGCACTCGATTGGCAGCTCGATTACCTGTTGAACACCTGTTATTAGTTTGTCTTCTTCTTTGGTCGCGTACGGGTGTGTCGCGGCCGTCGATTTAAATTGCGTCGGCGGCATTGTTTATAAAATCAGTTCATTAAGAAACGCTCGCGTGTGTTTATGTTAAGGTTCTTCCACGCAAGTTTTTATTTGTGCGCGTGTTTCGAAATGCCGCCGAGTACAAATTACAGCTAATTAATGTTGAGAAAATTGTAGTAATGGTAAAATCGTGCAAGAGCAAAGGTAAAAGGCAAAATAAAAGAAGTACACAAGTGGAAGTTCTGCAGCACCAGCAGCAGCAGCGCAGCAGGCGTCGGCGAACGCTGTAAAAATAGTTGTCTGTCTGGTTTTTGTTTTTTTCTCCTGCTTCTACACGAGAGGCTGCGTATCCGCTTATCGGTTTGCACGTGTGAGTCTGTCTATAACTGTGTGAGTGAGTGTGTTTGTGTGAAGCAACAATTTAATTGCATACTAAAACAGTTCAATTACACACAATTACACAAATACGTAATTTGCTTTGAATTGCATTTGCTATTGGCTATTGACGCTGTAATTAAATATTTCACTTGCCAATGTAATTGAACTGAAACAAAAAAAAATAATCAAGCAAACAAATAAAGACATAAGCACATGCAAACATCCAGGCACACGTAATAAAATAGTCAAACACAGGCACAATTAGACACACTATCGCAACAATTGCAACAGCACAATGCTAATGGAGCGGGGTGGGTGGAGGAACATAGAACCATAAATGGCGTAATCGTAATCTTTTTGCCCTCTTTTTAATGATTCAATTAAAAGCGCAAATTGCAGCTCAGAAATTCAATTTAGCCGCTAGTTGCTGCTCATGTGCGGGTTGCCGACGGCGACGGCGACGTTGACATTGAGGTAGCAGAGGCCAACGCGTCGCTTTCTGCTGCTGCTACTGCTGCTGCTGCTTCGTGCTACGTGCGTCGCGTGCCTTTTTTGGTTGTTTCTGTTCTTTGGAGAGTCGTCGCGCAACGACTCATGAAAATTGTATTTGTTTTTATTTACAATTCTTATAAAGCTTCATTAATTTAACAAATAAAAAAAGAAGAAAACGAGTTTTTATCGTACGTGCATAAGTGCAAAATATTGAATACAAATGATTCAATTGTTGAATTATTTGTGGCCAATGTGTGTGTGGATGTGTGAGTGTGAATATGTGTGAAGGGCAAATGCCCCTCAGTCAAAGTAACGGCAGTTTATTGCAGCGAAAGAAACAGCTAAGCGAATATAGAGGGAGAGACGCGCAGAGCACAGCAAAAAAAGTTCCGTCACCTTTTTCCCAGCGAAAAGAGAAAAACAAATAGCGACGCCGGCATTGGCACGACTGCGAAAAAAACACCATCAGAAAACAACAACAAGAAAAAAGGCAGCAAAAAAAGAAGAACGCAACAACAACGGCGGCCACATTCCAAGTGACAGCGGCCCCCAAAGCTCAGGTCAGGCGTCAAGTCGAGCTCTCTCGCTCTTGCACAGGCACAGCAACTGCAGCATCAGTGGGTAAGTCAACTACATCAACGTCAATTTTCTGTTTCTGCCACGTCTTCTTCGTATGAATTATTTGCACCCCGCAGCACTCTCCCCCCACCCTCATCACCTTTATGTAGTTATTTTTGTTTCTGTTTCTGTTTCTGTTACGCCTACCGTCGGCCCTGCAAAGAGTTTTTGCGCTGGAAATACATATTGTTTAACTTTTGCATCTTTCTCATGTACTTCGTTACGTTTTTACGTATTTTTTTGTTTTGCTTATTATTATTATTGCCTTTAGGTAGTCTCCTACTCCCCTCGGCACCGTCCCCAACGGGTGCTGCCTTTTGATCATCAAAGTAATGGGGAAAAGACTCATGTTAATTATGAATCGGTATTGGCCCTAATATAATGCACAGAGTGTAATTCACAGGCTAAGTGGGCTTTCGGGTTACGGCAGCTGGAAAGGGTTACGTGAAACGGGTAGCAAATTTGTAGGTTGCCAAGACAATTGGCACAATTGTCGCTACGTGCACACTTTATTTGAAGCTGGCAATTCCTAATTGCCGCCTTGTAGAGCAACTTTTTGGCCTACTTTTACAACGAACGCTGCCAGCAATACTAAGTTGATAAACAATCTGTTATCTCAAATTTAGTATGTAAATAATATTGAACTTGCTAAAAGCAAGAATAGTTCTGTCTCTGCCTATTCAAGAGTAATTACTGTTAATGGAATTCCAATTTTTCTATATAACAAATAAGAATAAATGATTATGAGTAAAGGATATAGTTTTAATAGCAATGAAACATTTAATTTTCCTAACTGAACAGAATTGTTAAAATATATATTTTCTTTATTTTTGTTGTCATTGCCAGTTCTGCCCCTTTTACAGATGTGATTTAACACATCATTGAAGTTTGATGAATTGAATCATTCATAGACACTCTAAACGACTTTCAGATTTCTTTTAATATGTTTGTGATTGTTAAGTGTGAAATCATTTAAAGATAATTGACCAAGGCCTTCATATTTTCATTTTCATTTTCATTTCATACGCGCAGTTAATTATTTTATTTTTTCCGATGATCATTTAATGACCAATAAACACAAATTAAATGAGAGAAGCGGCGAGATGGAGACACTGATCTATGGCATTGAACTTCGTCACTTTGTTAACCTTTCAATCGTTGCGTAAGTTCAATGTTGGCATTATGATTCGTAGCAAAAATAATTACAGCATTGTTTGGCAACTGAATACAAACAATTAAGTCTTTGTGATATACCAAATGATGTGTATAAAAATTAATTGGTAGTAGAAGATACTATTCGAATATTCTTCAAGGTAAAAAGTTGCGCGCGATTTGAATGTGTCTTCTTGCAATTTAAGAGAAATAAAATATAAAAGCCAAAGTTACGGTAAATTAGACTTTTAAATACCTTACTGAAAGAATAAACAAATATTCAAAAAACTATATGTCCAAGAATTTTAATGCTTTCATTAATTTTGTTGAACTAAGTATGGGAATTCATTTTAGTAAGCAGCCTAATTACATAATTAGCAAATAAGAAACTCGTCTCTGTATTCAAAGATACGTATTATTAAAAGAGTGTTTATAATGTAATGGGCATTTCCACAACTTTTCAAAGACAAAATCACTATTCAATTCAGGCGGTTAGCCTCGCTCCAAATTTGCTGTCGGTGGACCTGTTTGCTGGCGCACTTTTATTGGGGGTATGAGGCCAGACACGCGCCTGGCGCAAAGAAAAGCGTTAAGCTGCACAAAATCCACTTCCTTCCTTGCTTTCTTGCTGTCGCGGCTGAATGGTCGGCTGGCTGGCTGGTTGGAGGATTGCCTGGCTGACTGGTTGACTGGCTTCTGGTGGCCAAACGTAATCCAGCGGAGCCGCCCCCTTTTGGCTAGAATTTTGGGGCAATCCCAGACGGGGCAACCGAAAACTTTGAGCTTATTTCGGTCTTTAACAAAAACTTGTCTACGAGGCGCCATCGAACAATGCGAAATGAATAGAGCAGTGCAGAAGTGGAAAGGGTGTGCCACAATGAGCTCCACACACCATACAGCAACAGCAGCAGCTGGCAAGCAAAACAACCAGTTAATTTCCAAAACTGTGCAAAAGTGCCTCCAAAAAGGTTGGACAAGAGGGGGCAGGTGCAGGGGCTGTGAGGTTCGCTTCGACGTGGTCTGACTTGATTTGATACACCGCAACTAGTTCAAAACTAGAGCCGAGCCGGGCCAGTACACAAAATGCATTCGGCAGTCCAACAGGGAGTGGGACTCGGCGGAACTGGACGGGTTGGGCGCTGTTTAGGCTCGTCCGGCAAAAGAACAACAACAGCAACAACAACAAAAGCAGCTGTGCAAGAGTACGCTGGACAGGCCAGCGTAAGCGTAAAAACTATAAAACTTGTTTCTGGACAAACATGGGGAGGCACGCTCGGAAC